GATGTAAACTTTCAGCCACGTGTTTTTCTCCTAATGTCACTCATCAATCACAGCTGTAAAATCTAGGGAGCAAAATCATATTGCCTTTCGGGAGCTTGATGTGTGTCCTATGTTTCCATGGGCTGGCTATGGATCATTTTATTTTTGAATGAGGTAAGTCATCTTGAACACACATTCATTTCTGATAATTGCTTTTTCAAAAATATATCACAATATGCCTGAGGCTGTATTTTTTTGTTTTCCTTCTATTGGTTCCATTGCTTATTAATAGATTTTGAGTTCTGCATCCTTAAGTTTGTTTCCTGATTTTGGTCAGGGACTTTCACAGAGAACACTGCTGTATTTGTTTCGGTGGGAGGACGTTGAGGGCAGGTAAAGACAAGACCCTTGGTTGGACACCCGGCTATAAAAAAAATGCACTCATAGACAAGATCTATTTTGCCTTTCTCAAAAATCCTGGTAGATCAGAAAATTGTTTTATTATAATGCTTTATAGATGAAGATCTGACACTAGGAGGTTGAAATAACTGCTCAAAGTCACACCCATGGAAAGTTGTGGATCTTGCTTGTATTAGAATCAAGTCCTACCTCCTGTCAGTTATTTTTCAATAAACTCACAAAATAGTTATACTAATGAAACAGTTATACTAAAAAGTAAGGAAAAAAAGAGGCATTAAAATTAATACCAGTTACTATCTATATAATTTCCTATGTTATTTTTATTTCAATTTTTATTTTTAATTACCAGTAATAATTGTATATGTTATGGGTTGTAATATAATCTTTTGATATATGTGTATATATATATACACAATGTAGAATTATTATATCAAGATAATTAACATATCCAAGTTAACAATAATATATATTTCAACATTACTGAAAGCATATATTTTAAATGTTCTCGCTATGTAAAACAAGTATATGAGGTGATACATATTTTAGTTAGCTTGGTACAATCTTATATGTTATTTCTGATATAAATATAAATGAAGAAAGTGAGGCACTAATAGGAAACTTGTTCAAGGTTCCATTGTTTTTAATGCATCTGTGCTTGGATTAATGTAGCTGTGGCCGAATTTAATGCTGATATCCTTTCACTTCATTGCCACTGACTTATAGTTTGACAACTAATGATCAAGTTTAGTGAAGATTAAGTGGAAACCAATGAGCCTACAACCCAGAGTACAAAGATGATAACAAGGGTGTTGTTTGGTTTTGATTTAGTCAGCAAAATAAAAGGATTAAAACACAAACCAGAGGAATAGAAGACCAAAAATTATTAGCTCGAGTGTTAGCAATTAGCCAGTGATTTAAAATGGGGCACTATTCTCCACAGGTTGGATATATGTAGATAGATCATGTAAGCATCAGCTTGGGTTTTTTATTAGTCCATTCTCAAGCTGCTATGAAGAAATACTCAAGACTCGATAATTTATAAAAGAAAGAGGATTAATTGACCTATAGTTCAGCATGGCTGAGGAGGCCTCAGGAAACTTACAATCACCATGGAGGGGGAAGCAAACATGTCCTTCTCCACATGGTGACAACAAGGAGAAGTGCAGGGCAAAAGGGGGAAATGCCCCTTATCAAAACATTAGATCTTGTGAGAATTCACTCAACTGTTAGGAGAACAGCAGCATTGGAGTATCCACCCCCAAGATTCGATTACCTCCCACTGGCTGTTTTCCATGACTTGTGGGGATTATGAGATCTACAATTCAAGACGAGATTTGAGTGAGGACATAGCCAAACCATATCAGGTTTCTATACCAAAATACCATAGCCTAGGTGGCTGAAACAACAGATATTTATTTCTCACAGTTCTGGAGGATGGGAGTCTGAGATCAGGGGGCCAGCATGGTTGGGTTCTGGTGAGGGCCTTCTTCCTGGCTTGCAGACAGCAGCCTTCTTGCTGTGTGCTCACATGAACCCTTTGTGCCAGCTCAGGGAGAGATCACTCCCTTTCTCTTCTTATAAGGGAACTAATCCCATCATGAGGGACCTGATTACCTCTGAAGGCTCTATTTCCAGATATCATCACATGGGGAACAAAGGCTTTAACATGAATTTTATGGGGACACAAACATTCCATTTATAACACAGAAAATGATATAGGAAAACTTAGTGGTAGATCAGAAAAAGTCTTAGTAGAGAAACATTACACAATCAGAGACAACTTGCTTCAGAAAGTACTGAATCCAGGTACTAAAAGGCTCAATAAAAAACATATACTTTTTCTCTTCCTTTCAAATTGGCATCTCTGGGCTCTGCCTATCTTATATGTGGCCTCATTTTCCCCAATTGCAACTGGGTTTTTAACTTTATTCCAAAAACATGCATCGTGACACCTCTAATTTATAACCATTGAGCTTTTAACCTAATGGACAAGTACTATGTCATCACCAAACCAAAAAACGCAGAAAATGTTCCGAGTTTGATTACAGGCACAATACAGGACTTATATGCTGAGATAAGAGAAATTTGTGGCCAGTAGGAACTGGGTCGCACACCCAACCTGGGGCAGGAGAATGAGATTCTATGATTAGTCATCATTCAAAAATCACAGCATTGTATATAGGTGCCCCAAATAATAAGTTTCTAGAGGGACAAAATTAACGAGCACTGCCGAAATGTCCTAATATAGTTATAGATGGGTGAGAAATTGAAAGAACATACAGTATGAAAAAAGAGTGGACTAGGAATCAGGTAATCGAACTCCGTATTCTTTTGCTTTCTATATGTGACCAATTTTTTTTTTTTAAGTCTCTGGATTTCAACTTAACAATAACACGGGGAATCCCAAAATTGCTGTACATAAGAACTGCTTTGGAGATTTTAAAAATGTTTATGTTGCCAGAATATCTTGCTAGGAGAAAGCTCTATGTATAATTTAGTGATAGAAAATAAAAAATAATTATCTCTTGGCCATCACTCAGGGACCACTAAACTGGATGACCTCCTTGGGCCTTTCTTGCTTTAATATTTTATGATTGCAAGTGACAGATGGAAACAGAAAGAGAGACACAGAGACAGAGAGGATGTGGAATAAGATGAGGATGAGGAATAAGAGTATATGCAGCTCGAGATCTGACTTGAGAGGTAGCTGTAACATGTGCTACTCAATAATCCCAATACGGTCTCTCTTGCTGATACAGTAAAAACCTGCCACACGCTTTCAAGCAAAGAAGACTCTCAAGACTTTCCAAATAAAGATCTATGGGCTCTTTCTGCATGCAGACAATTTCATCAATGGAAACACGCACCATAGAAATAGACTACTCCCCATGGTTTCCTGCCCCCCAGCTTTCGTAAAGCCGTAACAGATGCTCGACAGCCATACAGAGCCCCAGACTGGTAGCAGCTGTGCAATGACTCCTGCTAATTAAGCCACCTATCACCTGACCAACAGTGCATTCCACGTTGGGATTGCTCTGGGAGAGGCAACAGTCACCCCAACCTAGATCTTCTGAGTTATAATCTCACAGGTGTGGACAGTATGTAGACTTATACAAATCCTTAGTTTAGTCCAGTCTGGTTAAAAACGACTATCCCAGAAGAATCCCCACCTCTGTAACAATAAGAAAGCTGACATTTACTTTATGATGTTGAAACTAGAACGCATGCCTTTTGAAAATTAAAATGAGAAAACAGAAAAAAAAAGTAAGATAAAAAATGGTGGGCTGAAGCTATTGAGCAGCAGTTTTTCATAAAAGTCAATTTAAAAATCTGTATATCATTTCAGATAGAATAAAAATACAGTAAAGATAATGAACATCAGTTTGAAGTCACATAACTGGTTTTTATCTTGGCCTCATTTTGTACAATAATATAAAAACAAACACAGTTAATGGTAGTTCTTGGAGATAATTACTTGGTTTTGAATTTCAACCCCATCACTTTCTGTGATATCTTGTGCTAGTTAACCTCAGGGTCTTCAACTACAAAACTGGGATAATAGTAGTGCCTACTTTATAGAATTATGAGATATATTTTTTAGTAAACCATAAATGAAAAGAATACTGTTCAGTGCTTGGCATGCATTTGGCAAGTGTAATCTGTGATCATCTTCCTGGAAAACATGTTTCTACATATAGTAGATACCAAAGTTTAAATCATCTAGGACTAAATCCTGACCATGCCATTTACTAAATGCCATGTTTCACTTGCAAGCTCTGGTCAAAGATGGGGAATAGAGCAATTATAAATCTAACGGAGGCTGGTAGAGTGGAAAATGCAAGCCAGGAGCTAGGAGCTGTGATGCTTTGCTCCTCAAAGTGTGGACCATGATGCTTTAGGAGCATCCACATAACCTGGGATCTCGTTAAAAGGCAAGAATCTTCAGTCTCACCCCAGACCTACTGATTCAAAATCTGCATTTTAACAAGATCCCTAGGTGACTCATAACACAATCAATTTTGAGAAATACTGCTTTAATGTTTCAGGTCCCGGTAAGGCAAATGCTGGAGAAACAGTGTAACTCAGAGCAAAAACTACAAAACAAAAATAGAATCCTCCAATGGTGGGTAAAGACAGTTACAGGGTAAACCCATTGACAGGTAAGTGACAGGTAATTTTACAGAGACAGAGCCAGTAAATGGAATTCTGGAAGAGAAATTTTTGCTATCCAAGACTGTTCTGCAGGGTCAGTTCACTTCAAAAGATCTGTATTCCTAACCAGAGAAGTCAAAACACAGAGCAAACTTAGAAAAACATAGCTGAAGTCAGGTAGCATGATGCCTCCGGCTTTGTTTTTTTCTGTTTTGTTTTGTATTGTTTTGCTTAGGATTGTCTTGGCTATGCGGGCTCTCTTTTTGTTCCACATGAAGTTGAAGGTGTTTTTTTCCCCAATTTTGTGAAGAAAGTAAATGGTAGCTTGATGGGGATAGCGCTGAATCGATAAAATACTTTGGGTAGCATGGTCATTTTCACAATATTGATTCTTCCTAACCATGGGCATGGAATGTTTTTCTTTTTTTTTTTTTTTTTTTTTAAATAAGTTTTTTTTTTTTAAAGAAACACCAACAGGGGATTAGCTCAGTCCATCCCTTCCTCAGTCATCTGCTTCCCACCATCCTCCAAATGCTATCCCAAAACATTTTGGAGGCAGGGAGAATGGGAGGCAGCTAATCAGAGTCTGAGAGCACGATGATCTCCTCTGGATCGCACTGTGTGGCCACACTCGTCTGCAGGGGAGTGAGAGACAAAGAGTCAGAGAGATATGGAGTACAGGGGAAAAGAAACAGATGGGAGGATTTAGAGGATAAAACGTGGGTGGGAAACAGGGAGAGAGAGGATGTGGAGGGTGAAATATTCAGATAGAGCAGCTGAAACAGACAATGAAAAAGAACAAATTATCAGAGCAAACCCAGCCTCCCCTTCTTACCTTGTAAGTACCAGGCCGGGGAGGTTGTGCCTGGGGGGTTTGGGACAGCCGGGCTGGAGAAGGGACGCAGAGGGAGCTGGTCACCAGGCCATGGCTGGGAGAGTCTACCCTCGTGGAGGAATCAGCAACCGGAGCCGAGGAAGCCAAGGGGGAAGGTGGGCTGGGCAGGGTACATATCTTTTTCCCATTCTTCTCATGCACTGACCTTTGCCTTTCCAAATAGCTAGGAACAGAAACATAAATATGTAGAGGGGTACGGGAAGACAGGCTGGAGGGAAGCAGTCCAGTCTCTCCCAACAGACTCAGTCCCCCCATATTCCTCTCCAAAAGTCCCCTGCAATCCCTCCTTGCAAGGGACTCTTCCTCCTCCTGTTGTTATTACCTGTTTCCCAATGGCCCTGATCCTGTTTGCATCTTCTCCTTCCGAGATTTTTTGCAGGGGGGCCCAGAATCTCCCCAGTTATGAGGAGAGACGCCTCCATTGAAGGAAGTAGAAGATACCGTGCCTGACCCATTCTCTAAGACAGTGGTGGAGGAGTCCTCTGACTGCTTCCTGGAAGAGGAAATGTCCGTCTCCACAGAGGAAGGGGTGGTATCCAGGGGCAAAGCTTCAATCTCTAGCTCAAAGAGCTGAGACATAGGGCTTTCTTCCTCCAGGGTCAACTCCTCAGGCTGTTCTCCATTGCTTTCAGCATCTATGCTGGAGGGGGCCAGGGGTTCTTCTGACAGTAGTGATGGTGACACTGTGAGTCCTTTGTTTTGCTCCTCCCCTGAAGACCTGCTGATCTCTTTGCCAGGTTCCAGGTTCTTTTCAGTAGAGATTTGTGGTGAGGACATGGGGCTCCTGTCTCCACCTTTATCTGGAAAAAAGGAAAACGGGAGAGGGTAGCTTGAGAATAAGGGAAAAAAAATACTGCTGAGAGGACACTAGGAGGAGGAAGGAAAAGGTCTCAAACAGGTGGCTCATGCCTAACAAAACAGAAATGACAGGTGAGGATAATGTTCCCTTGACTTACCTGCTTCTTCCTCTTCCTCTTCCTCTTCCTCCTCCTCATCGTCCTCCTGACCATCCTGAATCTGTTCCAGATCCTCCTCCTCTTCAGAATCTGTGGCCTCCTCCTCCTCCTCTTCTTCCTCCTCCTCCTCCTCCTCCTCTTCCTCCTCATCACTTTCCTCATCATCTTCGTCATCTGTCTCAGCTCTGGAGGTGGAAGGGCACCCCTGGGATGCCATTCCACTAGGGCCCTGGGGACAAAGAAGTTTCTCTAAGGAATCCCTTGCCCCAGAGGGTTTGATTCTTGCATTCCTTTTCAGACTCCCCCATCAGTCAACCTGGACTCCCTGGTGGCCAGTGCAGGGGAAGGAGAAAGTCTCTCTGAAGGCTGTACCCCATCCACACCTCACCAGAATCCAAGGAGGCATTGGGGATGTCTGCAGAGTAGGAACAGGTGCCTTGGAGCCGAGCTCTTCTCTTTTTTCTCTCGCCCTCCTCACTTTTGTCTTGCAACATTGCATATTTGGAGATGACCTCATCCAACCGACTCATAGCCAAACTCCGGTTTTCCCGAAGGCGCCGGGCCAACACAGGATCTGATAGCGCAGGGTCAATGCCTACGTGGGAAGACATAAAGTCAGAGCACTCAGCCCTTGAAGGGCCTAGAGGAGTACAAACCCTAGAAAGGACTAGAGAGATGCCCCATCCGCCTCATACCTGACATATAAAGGTCACTGACAGGCATCCCACTAACCCCCTACCTGGCCTATAGTCATCTGTGAGGTGGCAGCCAAAGTTGTAGATGAGATCGAGGTGCCGTCGTTCCTGTAACCTGATGCCCACATCTCGGAAGGCATCCTGAGCCATGAGCTGGAGTTGCTGTCGGGGGAGGCCAAGGCTGTGGCGAGCAGCTGCCTTCTCCACAGCCCGAAGCACATCTCCATAGTCAGGGAAGGTATCAGGCCCTGGCTTGTTGATGAGCCGCTCAATGCGCCTGTTAACCTCTGGATAGCGGGTGCCACGGTAGGGGATGCGCTGCTCTATGACACGGCCCGTCAGTGAAGAGCAGTCTTTCAGCTCACATAGTCGCCCAAAGAGGCGGATCAGCTTACGCTTCAAGCGTGCCTCCTGCAGGTATGTGGAGTCTGGGTCGTCCAATTCTGAGAGATCCAACTCCTTTTCCTGCAGCCGCCGGATCTCTGCCACATAGAGCGCCAGCAGCTGCTCCAAGCGCTGAATCTGCCGCCGGGAACCACGGGTCCTTGGGGCCTCAGAGGCAGTGTTTTCAGCATTTGTGGGGTCCAAGGAGAGGTGTGTGGGAGGGTTATTCCCAGAAGGCTCATTGGAGGTGGTGACAGCAGGGGCCAAGTTCAGCTTCTTTTTGGCTGAGTGGGCCTTGAGAACAGTGCAGAGCTCATTAATGTAGACATAGAGCTTAGCTGGCCGGCTCTGGGCCCGAGATAGGACCCGAGAGAGGATGTTGCAGAACTCCGCCGAGGCCAAAAACAGAGAGTGGGCACGTTGCTGCCGGTTATAGAGGAACGGGACCACCTCAGGGTGGTCTGCTGTCTGCGTCTTACAAAGTTCAAGGAACTGGAAAGTTCAGGGGAAGAAGGGAGTGGAAGAGAGACAAGGGAAGGGGTTGAGAGAAAGGGGTGGTGGGGTTAGTGGGAAAGAAAGGACAGGAGAGCCAGTCAGCCATCCCCCTCCCTGGGGTACAAAAATCTTCCCGCTAAAGCTCACCTCTTTGAACAGCTTCTCATTCTCCAACTTGTAGCATTTCTTGCCTCCCGAACTACTGCGTCCTCTGGCCCCATGAGGCTCAGAGGAGGTAGGGGCTTCTGCCTCAGGTGAGGCCTCGCTGGGGAGTGGGTGGGAGGGCCCTGGCTGAGCAGCTGCTTCATCTTCATCATCATCATCCAGCACAATGATGCTGTTAGCGGTGGCCATGGGGGATCAAATCCCCCTGACGGAGGAAGTGGTGGGGATTTCAGAATTCCTGCTGGAAGGGGATGGGGCCTCAGAATGAGCCCCTCCAGCATTGCCCCATCCCTTCACCTCACACATTTTCCGAACTCCTTGGGTTTCAGTAACATCCATCCCTGACCAAAACTATCTTCACCACCTAATTTCAATAACCATTAGTTCTATATGCTTTTCGGGCCCTTCAAGTGGTGTGGGGAGGGCAAACCACCCCAACACCACCCTCATAAGTTGCCACCCTCTGCTCCACCCCTCACGTCCATTTCCGGTCTTTCAGTCGCGTCTCTCCACTATTTCTCAGAGTTGGCAAGTTGCGTCTTCCTCCCGCACTGCACCCCAAATCGTCCTGACACCCCCTTGCACAGATAACACACTCCTATGGGCGCCACCTTATGTATTTGCCACCTCTGTCCTCAAACACGTCAACCCCACACCCACCCCATCCTGAATGATCACCCCAACTTCTAGACTCTCTGAGGCGAAAGAGGTTCCCTCCCAACAGTCCGTTCTCTTTTCCCCTCCTTGAACTGGCTCCATATTTCACCCTCTGATGAGTCTCCTCAAACTGGGGCTTCAGGTTGAAGATATTTTACTCCAAGTCCCCTCCCTCTCACCCCACCCTAATTTTCCCCATTCTCTCTGTGACCTGTAACTGATCAAAAGTCCCTCCCGCCCCTCACGCTGCGTTCTCCCGATTCCTCTTAGATCCCAACCCTGGGTCGGGCAGGTCCGGTAGATGCGCTTCCCGCCAAATCCCCCTCCCCCAGTTCAGCCCCCGGCCGCCCCACTCCCTTTCAGGGATAGGAAGGTATCATAGCTTTCCCCTCAGACTCAATGCCCGGCTCTCCCCAATACCCTCCCCCGATACCCCCGCCCCCGCCTCTGGTCCCCGCACCGGCCGGCCCCCACCTCAGAAACGGTCTCTCGAGGCGACCCTCGCGGCTGATCTCAGAACCTCTCATGGTTCCCTCCGCCTTCCTTCCCCCTCCCACCGCAGGCCCCACTACGGACCGGAAGTCACAGTTTCCGCCTACAGGAACTAAGCGCCGCCATATTGTCGTACGGAACCCAGTCTTCCTGTGGCCGGAAGTGGCAGTAGGCCCGCCCCGCGAACACCTTCAGTGCCGCCCACATAGTCAGCACTCCTTTCCAGTTCGGAGTTTGTCTCCCTCAACCCAGGCGACCCAAGGCAGCTGGGGGCCGCCATTTTGCCGTACGGCGCTGGCTAAACCTGGACTCCGGTGCGCAGCCAGTGGAGCTCTTTTCACCCGGTGCTTCTACGACTCTGCCAATCAGAAACTTCTTGCCTGGGGCCCAATCGCCGGCGAGTAGCGTGTGGGGAGGACAGAGCCTCCTTTTCAAGCAGGGGCAGGGGAACCGAACAGGGTGGATAAGGAACTGGGCTTTCCAAAGCTGCGCAGGGTTTCAGGGAAGGGCGGAAGTTTCTTAAAAGGAAAGTAAAACCTTTTTCTTTCAGCTGGGCTGTTGGCAAGCCTTCTGGCCCTGCTTTCCTGTCCCCCAGATTCCCATTTCCAAGGCTTATTCGGCTGCCCCTTCCCCTTTCCCCGCTAGGCGGCGCGCTCCTTGCCGCTGTCCAGCAGTTGCTTCCACTGCCAGGGTCTGCGTCTCCCGACCGTTATAACGCATGCATACAAATGAGCACAGCGCGCCATGCAGAAGTGTTGTTATTATTATTATTGCTACTGTTGTTGATTTGCTTTTCAAACTTCACCACAGAACTAATGGCCAACGAAACTGGTGGGACCTGAATGGTTCTGCTTCTCCAGAGGGGGTCCTCGAGGGGCCGTTTGTGCTGATCAGGAGGCCTTGCTTTGTCGTGGAGGCTCAGGGTCTGCGGATAGGCGGTGATGGGGTGGGACTTGGAGGAGAGTCTGTGCAAATTGCCGCTGCGAGGTCTGTGAGACGAAACGAGGCTCCTAAAATACCTGGGTCTCCGCCTCCTCTTCTGGGAGAGCTGAAAAAAGAATGGAGGATGAAGAAGCAGACTGACACTCGCCTCGTTGAGTTTAGGGAGACTGTAGGGTCTCTTGGAGGCAAGGCTGGTTCCAGAGGTGAGCTTATGAGGAAACCAGAAATGTTAACAGGGTCTCAATCGCTAAGATTCCCACTTTCACAACATCTTGCCACTTAAATAGGGCCACAGAGGTCCTTAGATCCCTAACGCTGAGTCTCAGAATGTCAACCATCCATTAAACAATCCCACATCACTTCTCTCCAGTCGTCAAAGTCTACAGCTTTCAAAATGGGAACATAAAACTCTCCGAGGGGACTGGGACTTGGGAGATGTAAGGGATTTAATTTCCAGAACCTCAACTTTCCCAAAATTGGTCTTCCTAAGGAAACACTTGCGATATAGCTTCTCATTCTTCACTTCTCCTTTTACAATAGAGTCACCCTCTTAAGAGAGAGAGAAAAAAAGTATACTTCCTCCCCCTTCAAAACTATAGTTCTCAACCATGAAATCTCTGGGGTAATCTTACCTGTTTAAAATAAAGGGACAAGTACCCCGTTTCTTTCACCAGGGCACCATGAACACCTATGTTTTTCCTTTCTTTTTCTTTTTAAAGACAGATCAGCCGGGCACTGTCGCTCATGCCTATAATCCCGGCACTTTGGGAGGCCTAGGCGGGTGGATCACTTGAGGTCAGGAGTTCAAGACCAACCTGGCCAACATAGTGAAACCTCATCTTAAAAAAAAAAAAAAAAAAAAGTACAATCTTTATACTGTTTGAACATTCTGTTCCCATAATAATTGTAACAGTAGCTCCTCCCAGAAGACTTTTTAACAACTAGAAACTTACAATCACAAGAAAGATATTTTTCATCACCATTAACATATATGTTTAGGCAGAAAGATATAAAAGATTGGTCAATAAAGGACCTTCAAGTATAAAAGTATAAAGTTTGGCAGGGCACGGTGGCTCACGCCTGTAATCCCAGCTACTTGGGAGGCTGAGGAGGGTGGATTACTTGAGGTCAGGAGTTCAAAACCAGCCTGGCCAACATGGTGAAACCCCGTATCTACTAACAATACAAAAAAATTAGCTGGGCGTGGTGGTGAACGTCTGTAATCCTAGCTACTTGGGAGGCTGAGGCAGGAGAATTGCTTGAACCCAGGAGGCAGAGGTTGCAGTGAGCCAACATCACGCCACTGCATTCCAGCCTGGGTGACAAATCAAGACTTCATCTCAAAAATAAATAAATAAATAAAATAGAATAAAATAAAAGCATAAAGTCTGTGGGGAAGTGGAATGGTAGTAGGAGTTCAAGGAGAAAAGAAATGATAAAAGAAGAAAAGGAATGATTCCCAACTGGTAAGAACTTATTTATACTTTTTTTTTTTTTTTTTAAGACAGAGTCTTGCTGTTGCCCAGGCTGGAGTGCAGTAGCACAATCTCAGCTCACTGCAACCTCCCCCTCCCAGGTTTAAGCGATTCTCCTGCCTCAGCCTCCTGAGCAGCTGGGATTATAGGTGCACACCACCATGCCTAGCTCATTTTTTGAATTTTTTCTTTTTTCTTTTTTTTTTTAGTAGAGATGTGATTTCACCATGTTGGCCAGGCTGGTCTCAAACTCCTGACCTCAAGTGATCTGCCCACCTTGGCCTCCCAAAGTGCTGGGATTACAGGCCTGAGCCACCGAGCCAGGCCTTATTTACACATTTTTTTTTTTTTTTTTTTGAGATGGAGTCTCGCACTGTCGCCCAGGCTGCAGTGTAGTGGCACAATCTTGGCTCACTGCAGTCTCCGCCTCCTAAGTTAAAGCAATTCTTCTGCCTCAGCCCCCCAAGTAGCTGGGACTACAGGCGTGTGCTGTAAAAAAATTAGCCATGCCCATCTAATTTTTTTGTATTTTTAGTAGAGACGGTGTTTCACCACATTGGCCTGGATGGTCTTGATCTCCTGACCTTGTGATCCGCCCACCTCGGCCTCCCAAAGTGCTGGGATTACAGGCATGAGCCACCTTGCTTGCCCTATTTATACATTTTTAAATGGTTAGTGGTGGGTAACAAGTTACTATGATATTTCTTTTTTTTTTTTTTTTGAGATGGAGTCGCCCTCTGTCACCCAGGCTGAAGTGCAGTAGCATGATCTCAGCTCACTGCAACCTCCACCTCCCGGGTTCAAGCAATTCTCCTGCCTCAGCCTCCTGAGTAGCTGGGATTTTAGGTGCTCACCACCACACCCAGCTAATTTTTGTATTTTTAGTAGAGATGGGTTTTTACCATGTTGATCAGGCTGGTCTGGAACTCTTGACCTCACGATCAGCCTGCCTTGGCCTCCCAAAGTGCTCGGATTACAGGCATGAGCCACCGATATTTCAATTCCTCTGGACGATAAATTGTTTTATTTTATTTTATTTATTTTTTATTTTTATTTATTTTTTGAGACGGAGTCTCGCTCTGTTGCCCAGGCTGGAGTGCAGTGGCCTGATCTCAGCTCACTGCAGCCTCCGCCTCCCAGGTTCAAGCAATTCTCTTGCCTCAGATTTCCTGAGTAGCTGGGATTACAGGCACACCTGGCTCATTTTTGTATTTTTAGTAGAGACGGGGTTTCACCATGTTGGTCTGGCTGGTCTCGAACTCCTGACCTCATGATCCGCCCACTTCATTCTCCCAAAGTTCTGGGATTACAGGCCTGAGCCACCCCTCCCAGCTAATTGTTTTATTTTAAAATGTGGGGCCAGGCACGGTGATTCACACCTGTAATCCTAGCACTTTGGGAGGCTGAAGCAGGAAGATCACTTGAGGTCAGGAGTTTGAGACCAGCCTGACCAACATGATAAAACCTTGCCTCTACTAAAAATACAAAAATTAGCCAGGCATGGTGGTGGGCACCTGCAATCGCAGCTACTTGGGAGCTGAGGCAGGAGAATCCCTTGAACTTGGGAGGCGAAGGTTGCAGTGAGCCAAGATTGTGCCACTGCACTCTAGCTTGGGCGACTAAGCAAGACTCCATCTCAAAAAATAAAAAAATAGGCCAGGCTTGGTGGCTTACGCCTGTAATCCCAGCATTTTGGCAGGCCGAGGCGGGTGGATTACCTGAGGTCAGGAGTTCAAGACCAGCCTAGGCAACACAGTGAAATCCCCATCTCTACTAAAAATACAAAAATTAGCCAGGCATCATGGCACACACCTGTAGTCCCAGCTGTTTTGGAGCCTGAGGCAGGAGAATTGCCTGAACCTGGGACTTGGAGGTTGCAGTGAGCCAAGATTGCACCACTGCACTCCAGCCTGGGCGACACAGCGACACTCTGTCTCAAAAATTTAAAAAATCACACACACACACAAACACAAAATAAAATGTGGCCAAATGCTATGGCTCACTGCCTATAATCCTAGCACTTTGGGAGGCTGAGGTAGGTGGATTGCTTGATCTCAGGAGTACAGACCAGCCTGGACAACATAGTAAGACCTCATCTCAATAAATAAATAGGCTGGGCTCAGTGGCCCACGCCTGTAATCCCAGCACTTTGGGAGGCCAAGGTGAGTGGATCACTTGAGGTCAGGAGTTCCAGACCAGTCTGGCCAACATGGTGAAACCTCCTCTCTACTGAAAATAAAAAAATTAGCTGGGCATGGTGGTGCACACCAGTAGTCCCAGCTATTTGGGGACCTGAGACAGGAGAATCACCTGAACCTGGGAGGCGGAGGCTGCAGTGAGCCAAGATCGCTGCCACACACTCCAGGCTGGGAGACAGAGGGAGACTCTGTCTCAAAGAAAAAAACAAAAAGGATTTCAGGACCAGCCTAGCCAACATGGTAAAACCCGTCTCTACTAACAACACAAAAATTAGTCAGGTGTGCTGGTGCACACCTGTGGTCCCAGCTCCTTGGGAAGCTGAAGCAGGAGAATTGTTTGAACCTGGGAGGCAGAAGTTGCAGTAAGCCAAGGCTGCACCACTGCACTGCAGCCTGGGCAACAGAGCAAGATTCCATCTCAATCAATCAATCAATCAAATGAATATTTTCAGTGTGCCAGAAGTACATCCTTCAGACAATTTTTATTTATTTTTATTTGTTTATTTATTTTGAGATGGAGTCTCGCTCTGTCACCCAGGCCAGGGTGCAGTGGCAGCGATCTTGGCTCCCTCCCAACCACCTCCCAAGTTCAAGCGATTCTCCTGCCTCAGCCTTCTGAATAGCTGAGGCAGGAGAATCAGGCGCCCACCAACTAGCCCGCCTAATTTTTGTATTTTTAGTAGAGACTGGGTTTCACCATGTTTGCCAGACTGGTCTTGAACTCCTGACCTCAGGTGATCCATCTACCTCGGCCTCCCAAAGTGCTGGGATTACAGGTATGAGCCACCGTGCCTGGCCACAATTTTAATGTATGATAAAATTTTTAGATACCTACTTAAAGATATGTGAAGGAGTATATACTTTTTCAAAATTATTCCCCAAGTATAGGTGCAGAATTTAAGACTGCTGCTGCCATAAGCTATCCAAGCATCTCCTCCACAGCTCCCAACACTCCCATTTCTCTCCTGTCTCCCTTCTCACCTCCTTGGCGAGGAAAGAGGATGTTTATAGGAAAGGTGGTCACAATTCCAGCTCCTCCTCCTTCTGAGGTGTCCCCAGGAGCCAGTCCCCTAACTTTGCCCATGGTAGTGGCCACAGCAGCATATAAGCAGCCTCCAGCATCAGCAGTGTCAGGAAGAGGGCCAGGAAGATAAAAAAAGCCTTGTCCAAGGCACGTCGCACGGGACCCCTGGGAGGAGAGGGACCCTGGGCAAATGCCAGGAACACATCCCCCTCGTCCACATCACCTTCCTCGGCCATACCAACTCACAATCAGACAGCTGGCTGGATCAGGGGGCAGGGATGGAAGGCCTTGCTCAGCACTGCAGGGATTAAGAGGTGTGGCTGTAGCAAGTCCTGCACCTGCCAGTCCTGACCCTAATTCCCACACCTAAGAGAAAAGAGACAGGGTCCTCTGAGCCTTTGGAACAATTATTTAAACATCCAGTGTGATGTGAAAGGTCTGGACTAAATGATCCATAAATTCCATTCAACTTTTTCATAGTATGATTCTGTGATTTGGAAACTGAAGGCCCAACATGGAGGCATAAGCTAGAACTGCCTGTCGCTCTGGGACTCTAGGCTCAAGGCTCAAAGTCTTGAGCCCCAACTGATAGTGAGGAAATGGACCTACCATGCATCTATGAGCCATTGTCAGTCTAAAGCCCCTTCTGGCTGGATGGTAGGGGGTGAGATGGTCTCTCTTGACCAAGGTGGGTGGGAACAAGCAGAGGGGACTTGAGTTCTCACAGGAGTAGTTCTCCCCACTGGGTCTGCAGGCAGCCAAGTTTGGGATAGTATAACCCAGAGTGCTCTCTTCCTAACCTCTGTTCTCTGCAGTTTCAAGAGAGGATTATCATTGACTGCATGAGCCCAAGGGGAGGTTTATAAAAAGACAAAGACCATGATGGATCAGCAGAGCAAGGGTGTGTGATTGGGACTTGGCTGTTGGGTAATTTTATTTTTATTTTTATTTTATTTGTCTTTTTGAGATGGAATCTCACTCTGTCTCCCAGGCTGGAATGCAGTGGTGCAATCTCGGCTCACTGCAACCTCTGTCTCCTGAGTTAAAGCAATTCTCCTGCCTCAGCCTCCTGAGTAGCTGAGACAGCAGGCATGTGCCACCGCACCTGGCTAATTTATTTTGTATTTTTAGTAGAGATGGGGTTTCACCATGTTGGTCAGTCTGGTCTCAAACTCCTGACCTCAAATGATGCACCTGCCTGGAACTCCAAGAGTGCTGGGATTATAGGCATGAGCCACCGAGCCCAGCCGGGATAATTTTAAAGAAGAGTGAAGTTTTGCCATCAATGGTCCAGGTCTGAGAGGCTGCTGGTGGAGGATGTGGTTGAGGAGGCTGTGGGGGCAAGGATTAAAAACCTTTTTTTAGGCCGGGCGCAGTGGCTCACACCTGTAATCCCAGCACTTTGGGAGGCTGAGGCGGGCGGATCACCTTAGACCAGGAGTTCGAGACCAGCTTGGCCAATGTGGTAAGACCTCTTCTCTACCAAAAATACAAAAATTAGCTGGGTGTGGTGATGCACGCCTATAATCCCAGCTACTCAGGAGACTGAGGCAGTAGAATCACTGGAACTTGGGAGGCAAGGTTGCAGTGAGCCGAGATCGTGCCACTGCACACCAGTCGGGGCGACAGAGCAAGACTCTGTCTCAAAAAGAAAAAAAAAAAGACTGGGCATGGTGGCTTACGTTTGTAATCCCAGCAGTTAGGGAGGCTGAGGCAGGCAGATCACCCGAGGTCGGAAGTTTGAGACCAGCCTGATCAACATGGAGAAACCCCGTCTCCACTAAAAATACAAAATTAGCCAGGTGTGGTGGCGCATGCCTGTAATACCACCTACTTGGGAGGCTGAGGCAGGAGAATTGCTTGGACCCAGGAGGTAGAGGTTTTGGTGAGTGCCATTGCACCCCAGCCTGGGCAACAAGAGCAAAAACTGTCTCAAAAAGAAAGAAAGAAAGAAAGAAAGAAAGATAATAAACATAAATAAATAAATAATAATAATAATGTGTGTCCTTCTCAGTGCACTGTATCAGGGGCCCCAGGAGGTAAACCCATCCCTCCCCTAGTACTGCCAACTTAGTCTGCCAGGTTTTTTCACCATAAAGTTGTTCCTGTGTAAGTCCTAATTGTCGGGTATATCATCAAAACTCTGGCTATCTGCTTTAGTATCCATAGATGATGACTCCTGTTAGAATAACTACTATGATAATACTTGTTAAATGGTGAGTTTACATTTATATAATTTCTTCTTCTTTTGAGACTCTGGCTCTGTTACTCAGGCTGGAGTGGTGCAGTGGCGTAATCTCGGTTCATCGTAACCTCTTTCTCCCAGGCTCAAGCTATCCTCCCATCTCAGCCCCTCAAGTAGTTGGGACTGTAGGCACATGCCATCACACCCGGCTAATTTTTGTAAATTTTTGGTAGAGATGGGGTTTCACCATGTTGTGCAGGCTGATTTCGAACTTTTGGGCTCAAGTGATCCGCCTGCCTCAGCCTCCCAAAGTTCTGGGATTAGTTATGAGCCATCGCACTTGGCTTCATTTCTTCTTTTTAAATGCAATCTAGGCCAGGCGTGGTGGCTCATGCCTGTAATCCAAGCACTTTGGAGGCCAAGGCGGGTGGATCACCTGAGGTTGGGAGTTCAAGACCAGCCTGACCAACATGGTGAAACCCCGTCTTTAAAAAAAAAGAAAAGAAAAGAAAATGCAATCTACTATGAGAGAAAATTTATCTTCTTCTTTGTTTACTCATTTGTTTATATTAAATGGATTCATGGATTCATATTTT